GGGCTGCGCGCTTACGAGGAGCGCCTGATAGCAAGGAAGCTCGATTTCTTCCTATGGGGATGGAACTACATCTGTGCGGATATGGTGCGCGAGTGGCTAGAGCCACAGGGACCACCATCGCGCGGATTGCGTCCGCATGTTGATCGGTGGACAGTCCAAGATTGGGCGCAGGCATTGGGGAGATGTGTCGGCATGCCAGGGCACCTTCTCTTCGACAGTGAGAGCATCAAGGTGACCAAGCAGGAAGAGGCGCAATTTGTGGAGCTATTCAAGAACGGGAGGTCTACCAAGAATGGGTACAGGACCCGCGATTACAAGGATCGATTCCGCCGGACTTTGTCCGCGGCGCTGATGCAATTACTGCAGCCACACCGCGCCTGCTACATCACATTGTGGCAGGTCTCTTTTGTGGAGTGCGTCATCGAGGGAACTCCAATTCACTGGGCGAGCATCCTGCACAGGGTGATGCGACAGCACGCTTTTGAGGAGAAGGGGGGAACTCTAAACCATCTCTCTCCTTTCCTCATCAATTTTTATCGACAGCGGAATTGTTTGACAGCGGCGGAGCTTGCGCGTTTTCCGCCGTTGTCCATCGACCATCCCGGGAAGTATGTGCGGGAGAATGAGGTCGACACTGATGCAGAGGAGTCACCGACTTCTACTCCGTCAAGGCGGAGGAACGAAGGGAGGAACACTCCTGCAGCACGAGCGCCGCGGAAGCGGCGATGGAGAGAGGAGTCCGAAGAGGAGCAGCATCAAGAACCCTCTGCTCCCATTCGACCGCGGCCGTTGTACGAGTCATACAGCCGGCCGAAGCAGAAGGCACGCAGGCTGGTGTTACCAGCCAACAGTGCGGCCACGGCGACGATTGCGACGGAGAAAGGAAGTGCGTCGCCAGAGAGGAACGAGGGAGCAACGGATCGCACTGCACCCTCGACGGACGAGAGGCCGCCTACGGGCCGAGGGCCTCCGGAGTTACCACGTGCGTTGCGGACAGGTGTTCCGTTTGCACACAGGCGAGACTCCGCGGACGGACGAGCCTCCGCGGACGGGCGACCACAAGCAGACGTAGATCTACGCCTACGCGTGGGAAGAAGCAGTCCGCTTGTGCGCAGGTCATCTCCACACGTGCCGCCTGTGCACAGGCAAGAATCACCCCCATTCCAACGTAGGAAGGGGAAGGAGCCGGCGGAGGATCCGCCTACGAGACACCGGCCTTCGGGGCCAGATCCTCCGGCGCACAACGCGCCGCGATTTGCGCCTTCGGCGCTAAAAGATACGGAGGAGATACGAGCATGGAGCGTGCGGAGGCCGCACCATCGGCATGTAATCCGCCGGTAGATGCGCCTTCGGCGGTAGGGCCTCAGGGCCAAGGGACATCGGGCGAGCGGCCCCCGGCCATGTCGCCTTTGGCGGTGGACGTCCGCGGCGCTACGCCTGCAGCGAACAAGGCACCGGCATTTGCGCCTGCGCACAGGCCAAGCACAGCCTCCGCGGACCGATCGAGGGAGCAGCAACAGACGGAGGAGCGGAGTGACTGTCCGCGGGATGAAATTTTGGTGCGCGATGCGCAATCAAACCCCGCGCAGCCACCCTCCGCTCGATCGCCTTCGGCGGCGGACGTCAGCGGCAAAGAGGATACGGTAGAAGACCAACAAGCGGGCGGTGGGGATGTAGCACGGGCACATTCGCCTACCGCCTTAGACATTTTGGCGAAGAGCAGCGAGGCTGCAGCAGTGCCTTCGCAGGCAGCACACGTCGACGACGTGCAGCCCCACTCGGGTCAGTCGCCGACGCAATCAATGGCGACTGAAATTCTCCACTCGGATGATGACGACGGAGTCTCCACCAAAGAAATGTCAGGAGCAGGGGATACCGAGGAGGAGGAGGAGGAAATTGTTGGAGCGCCGGCGGCAGCGCTCTCTGAGCAGGTGATTCCGTTGCTGAGGTACTTGGATCGCAAAATCGATAAATACGCCGATCCACTTCAGCCGGGATCTTACATCGAATTAGTGCGCAGGCGGACTCGCACTAAAGTCCACACCAGCAAGCTACTAGCTAGAGTGGACCAGGAGTTGAGGGAATTGAAGGAGAAGCATGAATGCTTGTGGGGTCAGTATAAACTCAATCAGAAATTCTACAAGTACTCCGAAAAGGTGAGGGATGGGAAACTGGAAGAGCTCACCAAGGAGCAGGTGAAGGTCACGGAAGCACTAATTTCTGAGCAGACCCAGAATCAGATTTTGTCAGAGGAGCTCGTGCGACAGACGCGGTTGTTAGAGCAGTGTCAGCTCGCACGACAGGCGGATGAGGATTTAATCCGCAGGCTACAGTCAGAGTGGCGAATTGAGAGCGCAGCGTGCTGAGGCCGAATCGCAATTAGTGGTAATTGAAGAGGATCACAGGCGAGAGGCAGATCGCACGAAGGAGGAGACGGCGAGGCGTGTCGCCCACTGTCTCAAGGGCTACGCCCACTGGGAAGTGGCGGCGCAGGAGAAACTCACACTGCGTGAGTTTGAACTTCGCGCAGCCGGGTTGTTGACAGGCGACAGCAGGAGTCGGCGGAAGGTAGCGAAGAAGCTCAAAGCTTTTCTGTCGAAGGCGCGGGACACCATGTCCACCCTCGAAGTGGAGGTGTTCGCGGCGTTGCAGCGATTGGGACTGCGCAGTCGAGCGGAAGACTGGCAGGGTAGGGAGTTAGTGCACGGCAGTCCGTCGCGCAGGAGACGTAGCACAGGTTCCGCGGAGTGTAGTGTAGCGTGGTTCTGTGCAGGCGTATAGCGTAGTGCAGTGTAGTGCTAGTTAGGACTTAGAAGGTATAAAATAGTTCCAGGCGTTTTGCCTGGGGTTCTTTCCCAAACTCAGAAGTGCAGATCAGGAATCCATTTCCTCTGCGTGTTTGTGTCCTTGAGTTCTGTCACCACGCAAGAGGAGTTACAACTTAGCGTTCCGCATTTTGTAGCTGAAGGCCTTCGGCCGAATGTTCAGAGCTAGCACATTGGTTAGAGACTTGAGTAGTTCGGATCGGCACCTGCGGGTGACTGCCGATGCTCAGAGCCAGTGACTAGTTAGATACTTGAACAGTTTCGCCCCTACCCCTTCGAGTGTTTCTTCCTGATTGTACTCCTTTGGGATTTTTCCCCTGAATACCAAACTGAAGTTTTGCTACTTCGAGTAAGCCTTGGTTGTAAATTCAGGTTACGCTGCAGCAGGTGCCTTGAGGGTAACCCCTGTAGTATTTCTGGGAATGACAAGTGCCTGAGAATTCAAACTCTTCAATAGACTGTTGTTGTGTTACTGGAATGTTTCTCAGTGAGTCCTTCAATGCGGACCTGTGTTCTCTGCGCGTTTTGTGAGTTGAGAGTGTTGTTCACCGCGTCTGAGTGACTTCTATCCGAAGTAGGTAGTCCAAACCGGATTTCCTACACTAGCAGCAAGCTAGTGGAAGTGTTGTAAAAGCCGGAGTTGGGAGTCACTACCCGCAGCTTCGCTGAGTGTGCTCGCGAGAGACTTTCCCCCTGAAATCTTGAGTAGAGGTCCTAACGGATCTCTGGGTTGTGTTTCTGTAGTTTCAGGTGTGTGTGTGTGTGTGTGTGTGTGTGTTACGCTGCACTGTGCGACCTCCGAGTGCGCTCCGAGTGGACACTTGCAGTATTTCTGGGAGTGACAGTCGCCTGAGAATTCAAACTCCTCAATAGTCTGTTAAACGTGACACTTTGTACCCTGTGTGTTCCTCTGTCCCTGTGGGTTCGACCTTTCTACCACTATATTGCAGTTTTAGCCTTTAGTGGGTTATTACAACAGCGGAGTTTTGCTTCAATACTACGGACTCAAGGAAGCGAACTTCTACACAGTTCTGTTTCGTGTGTCCCGGACGATGGGTGTTTTGTCTCAGGTTATACGCGACCGCGAATTTGGACTCCTCATCGAAATGCCGAAGAGTATGACAATCGGATCTAAAACTTTTGCAAAAAAACAGGCAGCCAAGTGAACCGATCGCCCATGCCACTCCAACATAAGCAGGGTGCTGTACTGATATTCTGCACGTGTCTTAGCAAAGATTTTAGTGCACAGTCGATCCTCTCCAGTTGACAGACTCTCCTCTCCAGTTGACAGACTCTGTACGAAAGATTCGCTAACCGGCCTCTGTGCTGTGTGTTCCTCTCAAACTCTGGTATTCTCACGCGCGAAGGAACTTGGAGTACTGATAGACCATTCGTGTGTATATGGTGTTCCAGATCCGAGTGGGGTTTAGTTTGATCGAGAAGTACTGGATTGCTCGTGGAAACTTCAGTGAAAACTCTTGTACGTAACGAATTCGTGACTTGGAGTTCACAAAGCATTCCCATTGTGTATGTTAGGAATCATTCAAAGATTCCCGAGAATAAGTGGAGCTCTAACGCTAATCAAACTCTCCAGCAGACTTTGGATTGTGTATGGTAGGAATTTTTCAAAGATTCCCGGGAATAAAAGCAGCTCTAACGGTATCCAAATTCTCCAGCAAACTTTGTCTTCTTTTACAAGAAGAATTGCATGGTCTCGCCACTGCTTCGGACGCGGTATATACAACGGATGGCTTCTTTACTTTCTGATATTACGTAGTATAAAGAATATGTGTGACAGGAAGATTTTAAATCGTCGAACAAACAATCATTCAGAACAGTTCAATAACCTTGAAAGGAAAAACTTGATTAACGTGCTTTCTTTCTAGAAAATGGATTCCCCGTCCTTGAGATATATATATCACAGATATATTTTGCTTATGAATCACACACTCAGAGCTCTGAGTGTGGCATACCAACAAATAAACTGCCAACCTTTCTTTCTGAATGCAGAAAACTGAATCAAAGATCTTTTAGATCGATCAAATTCTTTATCGGTTGACATGGATTGCAAACGTAAAATTTTTGATTTTCGATTTCATCAAGTGGTGCTGCAGTGGGTCGTGAGGATGGTCTATAGTTCTTTCCCAGCATTCTAATGGTCTCTCACGCTCTAACCGTCGAAGAGACTTTGAAACACCATTAAGTGCGGATATTTCAGGATGTGACCTCCAAAACACGCGAGGAGGAGTTCTATCGAGGTCACGCGCACACACGGAGACGGTGTTACATCAATTCATCTTTCACGACACTTAGTACACAAATCTCATAGATTTTACCGACGAAACGACCATGGATTCTCTTCCTCTGCATGTCTTCATGAATATCATGGAAAGAGTTCACTGGGTCGACTACATGCGATGTAAGTTAGTCTCTCATTCTTGGAACTCCATTCTCAGGAATCCTCTTCTCAGAAGTCAGTCTTCGGTGGCACTTTCTTCTTGCGAGGCAGACGGGCCGTGTTTGGTGGTCACCATCAGAAATCACATTATTGTCAGAAGAGCTCCCAGCATTTCGCATCGTCCGGTTTCTGGCAGGAAGCGATGGAACCAGCTCCCATTAATAAGTCCGAGCTCACACCCTACTTTCGCCCAATGGAAGTTGATCGCCACTACAAATGGTCTATTTCTCATGTCCGCAGTACACGATGAGCGCAAGTATCTCTTATGCAACCCAGTCACCAGAAGAGTCGAAGAATTGCCTCGTGTACCAATACTGTTAGTGAGTGCTGAGCTTCAGATGCCTGGAACATTCATCTTGAAGACTGTGGAAATGGTGACTCCAATGGGAACTGGCGGTACGGAATCCAGATCTTGGCCGAAGGTGATGGCTTTCGAGCGGTATTCTGCTGGACGAGGATCTGATATTCTCAATATGTGGAGGTTTCTACAATACAATGATAAGTCCAAGTGGCAAGTGGTTTCCATGATCTACAACTTTACTATCAAACTCAAGGAAGTGACCACGACCGTGAGACTTGTACCCGAAGGTGATGATGTCCACATCCATACACGAGAAGGAACTCAAGAATTGCAGCTGGAAGAGAAGGAGATCAAGCTCAGAAACTGTGCGACGGTGGGAGGAGAGACATTCATCCTCTTGACTTCTGTAAAAGGACCAAGCCAAACTCCATACTCTCACAACACCGGAGTTATCGGATCCATGGAGCAATGGTACGGCAGTGTCTTGTTCAGACTCAGGCCATACAGTCTTGTAGAAGTCTCGTTGAATCACCTCGACATGTCTCCATATCTTCAATTGTTCCAACATGGGGGAAGCTTATACATAGTGAGGGGAATGGCTAGAAGGAACTCAAAGGTGGATATATGGAAACAAAACTCGGACGGAGGTTCGTGGGATGAGGTGACTACGATGCCAGACCTTCTGGCAGAAGAACTGTACAAGCTCATGCAACCCGAAGAACTTTTTCGACTCCAGGCGGAAGGGGATTATGTGTGTTTCTGCAGTGGAAACTGCTTTGGTGTCATCATTACTTTTCATGTACCGACGAAGATTTGGGCAGTGCTAGACGACTTCACTGTTCGGCTCCGTGAGTTTTACGCACACTCTCGGTTTGGTCCTTGGTTACCATATGGCCAGGAGTCGGAGTATAGTTTGCACCATTTTTTCTGGCAGCCTAGGCTAGATTCAAACTTTTAAGTTCCGTCACAAACACAAGACTGATGAATCTATTGCTCGTAGCTCACAGTCAAACAACGGAGTTAAGTATTCATTATGCAGGTGGATGTCAGTCTCAGAAATGCATCTGAATATTTTCTTGAACAGATATCAGATATTTTGGAATGTCTTCGTACTTCGTAAATTTCGTATGATTGGGGTACAGCAGAAAAAAATTATTTTCGGAAATTAATGCTGCATGCTGTTTCGCTTCTAGGTCTCTCTTTCCTTCTCACATCGAAAATGGAGATTTTTTCCTGCTTTTACTCATGTCGTTTTTATAAACTGATCATTGACTCTTATATTACAATATATTGGCTACATCTGCAGAAATTTGGCATAGTATATTTGAAGTCATCATGAATTACTCGATATTATTTTATCATCACAAAAAGACAGTTTTGACTTTGATATCTAAACATTCAACGATAGCAGATCTTAATCGAGCACAATCTGATGCCAAGGCCTGGCATCAAGCCGGGCAGTGTGATCTTGTAACACCGTAATTCATCACATCTCAGATCAACTTCAAAATACAGTAATCTCACTTACGCAGTTTGAACCTGGGATGATTGTGGTTGTGCGTAGTTACCTAAAAATTGTTGACTTTGGAAGAATCATTCCATAATCGTTTGACTAAAACCAAACGGAAACCCTAAATGCGTCCCATGGATACAATATAATGAAGAATCTTAACAATCATACCAGTGAAAAGAGTCTAGAGCAGGTCTCATAAATTCTGGCAAATTTTTCTCTTTAATTCTGGAATTTTTGGCAATAATTCTGTCATTCCATTATTTTTCGTCCGATGGCTCTTCGATAACTGTTTTTAACATTTCGAATTGCTTTGCTATGTAAATTGCACTTCTATTATAACCAAGAAAAACAAACAATGATCAAAACAAACGTGTTGAATAAATGATTAAAGTAAACTATATGTAATAAAGATATGAACTGTACCTGGATCCTATGTTCCAGCCAAAAATTATGCACAACAATCAGAACAAACATGATACAAAAATGACATGAAAGACAAAACTGAAATGTACCTGGACCCTTCTAATCTAGCGAAGAAAATACTCACAATGATTCTGAAGAAGAAATGATTCATCAATGATCACAATCACAATGATTCTGAAGAAATATGCATGAGTACTTCTGTTCTAGCCAAAAAAAAAATCACATTGAACAAAACAAACATGCTATAGAAATGATATACAAGTGAAAAAAAATGAAATCAATCTTTATTTTTCTTACTTGTATCTTCTTTCTTTCGTGAGAAACTTGCTCTCCACTTTTGAGATACTACAACTAAGAATTCGAGCACCTTTTAACAACTTCCGTCATCTTAGAAGCAGAATTTGGTTTGGGATCCTTAGTTCACCATCAAGTTCAATCGCATGTATTCATGGTTTGTCTTGGGAGCACTCATTTCTACCATAACACCCTCCTCCCCACCTTCCCCTTGCACTCACTTGCGAGAATTAATGTGACAGTCTTTATAATGTATGTAACTTTGGCTGGATTAATTTGGCAGATTGGCAAGATTAATTCTGGCTTATAAAAATTAGAACCTTGGATTTTAGGAGGTCTGGTCTAGAGTGCCAGTGTGCTTGTTAGTCCATCAACTATGAGAGATGTGTGGCACAAGGGTAAATTCTAAAGGGACCTGGGTTAGTATATGATGATTGTTAGTTTCATCCATGTTGAAGACATGCTTTACGTTCAGATTTACAAAATAGGTTCTACCAATCTCTCTATTGCGCTATTTTTTGGCGAAAGTAAAGAGTATTGTATTCAGCTTATTGATTCCAAAAACGGATTTTCAGACATCTTGTTACTGACTAAGTCAATTCACAAAGGGCCAAGGAACCTGTAGATGAACTCTACGCGTTTATCACCTATTATGATTTTGGAAACGTGTACAATATAGTTGAGATCTGTTTGTTTTGATATATAAACCACAAGGGGAAAGGAAAAATTTCCAAAACCTGGATTTTCAAACACAAGAATCTTCAATATTTAACTCAAATGAAAATCTATGGAATGTTAAATTAAATAAATCTCAGCACTATTTTTTGGAAAAATAATGACTGCTTTACCGGGATGGTGCTTAAGCGAGAGGCTAGTGTAAACGCCACTGCCAACTCTAGAATCTTGGAAGTGTACAAGTTATTTGCTTCTCGACTTCCATGCTTCCTGATTTAATCGAAAACTGTCATAATCGAAAACCGTCAGTTATCTCACATTTCATCACAATTTATTTCGATGCACATCGTAACTATTAGCTTTTCATTTTCCTGATCACATTTGCAATAGATGGGGCATCCAGCTTCAGAGGCATCCAGGCGAGAAAGGATTCGTCAGCGCTGGGAATCGGGCTCGCCCCACGGTCAGTGTCAGCAGCAGGCGAATTAATATTTTGCCCTGGCGATCCAATAAGAAGAGGTGGTGCATCGTAGGAAGGCAAGAGCAAGGCAGCCGCGACTGACTGACTCACGAGGAAAAATAGTGAAGGAGACGAGACCAGAGCGCGAGAGCCGAAGAGTAATACGAAGAAAAACAGCGGCGAGCGAGGATGGTGAGGATGATGAGAATGCTCGTGGATCAGGGACGCAGGACGTCGCAGAACCTGCAATGGGTGCGCCATTTGACGAACAACACGGATCTCAAGTCGCGATTGGAGCAGTTGATCCCCGAAGAGCAATCGCGCTTGAAGGATTTGAAGACCAAATACGGGAAGAACTCGTTGGGCGAGGCCACCGTCGACATGGCGATTGGCGGCATGCGCGGGATCAAAGGCATGATGTGGGAGACGTCTCTGTTGGACGCTGAGGAAGGGATCCGCTTCAGGAACATGACCATCCCCGAGTGCCAGGCCAAGCTTCCAGCGGCGATGCCCAAAGGCGAGCCTCTGCCCGAGGGCTTGTTCTGGTTGTTGGTCACCGGCGAGGTGCCCACCAAAGAGCAAGTCAGTGCATTGACGCAGGAGTTCCAAGTCCGATCGCAAATTCCCCGCCACGTCTTCGATGTGCTCGACGCCTTGCCCACAACCGCGCACCCCATGACGCAATTCACCACCGGCATCCTCGCTCTCCAGACCGAGAGCGAATTCGCACGCGCTTACGCGAAGGGTATCGACAAGCGCAAGTACTGGGAGCCCACTTACGAGGATTCCATGAACCTCATCGCCAGGTTGCCAGAAATCGCCGCATATGTTTACCGGAGGACCTACAAGGGCGGCGAGACGATTGCGGCCAACCCGAATTTGGACTACGCAGCTAATTTCGCGCACATGTTGGGCTACGAGGACCCCAAATTCCACGAGCTCATGCGTCTGTATCTGTCCATTCACTCCGACCATGAAGGCGGGAATGTAAGTGCGCACACTGTCCACTTGGTGGGCAGTGCGCTGTCCGACCCTTACCTTTCTGTGGCCGCCGGTATGAATGGATTGGCGGGGCCCCTGCACGGGTTGGCAAACCAGGAGGTCTTGCGATGGATTGAGGACATCGTCCGAGAAATCGGCACCGACGTCACCACGGAGCAACTCAAAGAGTTCATCTGGAAGACTTTGAAGAGTGGCAAAGTCGTTCCGGGTTATGGGCATGCGGTTCTCAGAAAAACTGATCCCAGGTACACATGCCAGCGTGAATTCGCTATGAAGCATCTTCCGAACGATCCCATGTTTCAGATGGTGTCCAAACTCTACGAGGTCGTTCCTCCCATTCTTCTGGAGCTGGGCAAGGTCAAGAACCCGTGGCCCAATGTTGATGCGCACAGCGGAGTTTTGCTACAATACTACGGACTCAAGGAAGCGAACTATTACACAGTTCTGTTTGGTGTGTCCCGGACGATGGGTGTTCTGTCTCAGCTCATATGGGACCGAGCATTTGGACTCCCCATCGAAAGGCCCAAGAGTATGACCATCGAATGGATCGAAAACTTTTGCAAAATGCAGGCTACCAAGTGAGTCGATCGCCCATGCCACTCCAGCATAAGCAGGGTGTTGTAATGATATTCTGCACATGTCTTAGAAAAGGTTTTAGTGCACAGTCGATCCCCTCCAGTTGACAGATTCTGTACGAAAGATTAGCTAACCGGCCTCAGCACGAATGTGCTGTCTGTTCCTCTCAAACTCTGGTCTTGTTACGCCTGAGGAACCTGGAGTAGTGATAAACTATTGTTGTGTATATAGTGTCCCAGATTCTAGCAGAGCGGGGTTGAGTTTGATCGAGAATCACTGAATTGCTCGTGGAAACTCCAGTGAAAAGTCTTGTACGTTACGAATTCGTGACTCGGAGTTTACCAAGCGGATTGTGTATTATTCAAAGATTCCCGAGAATAAGAGGAGCTCTAAAATTAGAATCAAACATCGTCTAAAATTTGAATCAAAGACATTTTAAACCGATCAGAACTTTTTATCGGTTGATATGGATTGCAAACGTATTAAAATGACTGATTTGATTTTCGAGTTCATCGAGTGGTGCTGCAGTTGGTTATGAGGATGGTTCATAAGTGCTTTCGTTGCCTTTCTGATCAAGTTCTATGGATCCAGAGTCACGCTCATGGAATCTCACACAGTTGCAGTCGAGGAGTCTTCGAAACTCGAAGAACTTTGGATACTTCAGCATGGGACCTCCAAACTACGGAAGGACGAGGTCGATCTAGGTCAACGCACATGGAGACGAATCACGTCAGATCATGTTTTAAGACACTGAAGCTAGAACAAAGATCCGCACTCAATCTCATGGGTGACCCAATGCTCATTGATTTTACAAACGAGACGAACATAGATTCTCTTCCACCGCATCTCTTCATGAATATTTTGGGAAGAATTCACTGGGTCGACTACCTGCGATGTAAGTTAGTCTCTCATTCGTGGAACTCCATTCTCAAGAATCCTCTTCTCAGAAGTCAATCTTCGGTGGCAATTTCCTCTTGCGAGGCAGACGGGCCGTGTTTGGTGGTCACCATTAGAAATCGCATTATTGTCAGAAGTACCCCTAGCTTTTCGCATCTTCCGGTTTCTGGCAGACAGCGATGGAAACACCTCCTATGGATAAGTCGCAGATCACAGCCTACTTCCGCCCAATGGAAGTTGATCGCCACGACAAATGGTCTTTTTCTCATGGCCGCAGGACACAATGAGCGCAAGTACCTCTTATTCAATCCAGTCACCAGAAGAGTCGAAAATTTGCCTGGTCTGCCAAAACTGTTAGTGGGTGCTGAACTTCAGATGTCAGGGACATACATCTTGACGTCTGTGGAAATGGTGACTCCAATGGGAACTGGCGGTACGGAATCCAGATTTTGGCCGAAGCTGATTGCCTTGGAGCGTTATTCTGGTGTACGGGGATCTGATACCCTCAACATGTGGAGGTTTGTTAAGTACGATGATAACTCCAGTACTTGGCAAGTCGTTTCCATGCTCTGCAACTGTTCCATCGAACTCAAGAAACTTGCCACGACCTTGACAATTGTCTCCGTTGGTGTCGGTTTGTACTACCATTATCAACAAGAAGAAAGTCGAGATGTGCAGCTGGAAGAGAAGGAGGTCAAGCTCAGAAACTGTGCTACGGTGGAAGGAGAGATATTCCTTCTCTGGACTTCCGTGAAGGGACCAAGCAAAACGCCAGACTCTATAAACACCAGACCCGTCGGATACATCGAAGAATGGTTCGGCAGTGCCTTGATGAAACTAATGCCATACAATTCCGTAGAATTCCCGTTGAATATCAGATATCAGATATTTTGGAATCTCTTGGTACACATGAAGTTTCCATAAACTGATCAATGATTGATATAATTCATCTCACTAGCTACATTAGGGTTCTCTGATAAGAGCATTATATTCTCTTCTGAATTGTGCTCACCACGATCACAGACCAGTTCCACCACACCGAATCCAATCGGTTGGGGTGTATGGAGTTGCCTCTGTGCTTGCGAATCTCCTTTGCTCTGAAGTGTGAGTTGGATCTGAGGTCTGGACGATCTCAGAAGACAAGGATTTCATAAAAATTCTGCATATTTGCAGTATACGCGTTGACGTCCCTATACCTCAGCTGGAAGTCGATTAGTCAGCTGAGAGAGTTGTTGAACTTAAGCTACTATCAACTCTACAATCACAACAGCTGCGCAAAATTTTACAACCTCGGAAGTCAAATCTCTTCCGGTTGTCAAGTACAACCACAAGCTACGGGGTTCCCGGTTTCAAGGAGCGAAGGAGCTGACTTCATGCCCGAGGAGCAGCAACCGCTCTTTCTGCTTCAGCTTAAAGCCATATCGCTGGAACTGACTGCAGCACGAAGGAGCCAGCTTCAAAATCGAAGGAATAGACTCGTCGATGGCGCGAATCGTGGCGTTTTCGTGTGAGTTTGGATGGCCGGGCAAGCGTAACCTCAATGTCAGAGCGAGTTATGTACCACGGATTTGTGTCAGAGATGTTTGTGCTTATCAAGATCCTTCGACAAGCGGTGTTTTAGAACGTAGATGGATACGGGTAAGCGTGCCAACATTTCCCCATGATCCTCTCGAGTCTTTCCATTTCATACCATCTCAGAGTCATCCCAAGAATTTCTACGTGATAGGATCACCAGGACTTGTCCCGAACTTGGGCAGTTTCTCTTAACAAGGTCGGTTTGCTTGGAATTTGGTCTATGATGGTAACTTTAGAAAAAAATTACGATTAGATTTGTATATGAATGAAATAAGGTCGCTTTAGATCGGGATTAACTCTTCATTTGCTTTCGTGCTTTTACACTTTTTTTCGTCTACGGATGCAGGGGCATTTCAGCATACCCCGACAGCGAATAACGTCAGGGGTCTTCAGGGTTCCCGAGTTCCGGATTCCATTTATCCGAAAGGGGCCGTAAGGCTCCCGCTCCACGTCCGAGCCTTTTCCTTATCTCCTTCCTTGGGGTCAAAAGTTGCAGAGGTAGCGCCTCGTATCTTCCCACGAGTTCTCGTTGAGCCTTCTCCATATCGATATCGAAAGGGATTCGGACTTCACAATTATCGAAGAAACCGGGTTGACGGAATTAAGCACAGTAAAAAATTCAGCAAAAGCTAGCTGCTATCATTGTAACATGGTATCGCTCTATAATTTCGTGAAGCATGTGAATTCTTGGGGATAACTTGGATCTTCCATAATCTAAACTCGGTAGAAATTGCTCCTTTACCACAATTCTGTAGTCCTTCACTTTGCTGCATACAGTCCGAAGTTGCACATATTGATATTGCACAGCTTAATATCATATTGTATTTTCGTTCCACATGCACCGATTCCATTCTTCTGACCTGATTCAATTGCAGTGTGAATGTCTGAAAACGAAGAGGTGGTGAGAGTAAGAACTCATAGATCCTTACGCTCTAGGAGCTCTGATCCCTGAAAATAGCAAAGGAAACTATCACGATCATTTGCTGACCTACCGACTAGACCTTGATGATGTCGATGGGTCGCAAGGTTCGCTCGTCGAATCAAAAATGAAAAGTATAGACACGACAGTCCACCCAAATAAGGGATTCTGAGGTACAACTTGACTCACTTTCCCCTTAAATTTTTGGACTCAATCGATTGTGCTTTTAAATCATGAAGCGTGCTGCGATGGTTCTGCGCTTGTCAGATTAATCAATTGGTGGAAGGAAATGCTTTCATTTCAAGCAGCGAAAAATCTAGCAAATGGTCTATGCGCTGAACAGACGAGAAGCTCCAGAGTAATGCAGAAGGTGGATGACGATGATCGGTGCATGTATTGTTGCACGATTTGCGCTACTTGATGCGGATTGATAAATTTGTAAGAAATTGATAATCATGGAGGCATCACCCTGTCATTTGGTATGTGTAAGTTACAGCAGGAACTTTCAGTTCATATGGCCTTCAGGTCAAGAGTGAAAAATGGGCCCTGTAAGTCACGACCAGAAGAAAGATCAATTCAACACAATGTGAAGAAGAAACAATAATCATTGGAGGAGATATCAGCCTGGTGCATAGAAGAACCAACGAACACCCAGGAGCATTGAGGTGGGCTCACGTAAACTCCTCGTTCGTGCACTTCAACAACAAAATCTTCTGGGACTTGGAAAAGCATGTTGCTTAGACGAAAGCAAAGGCAACAATACAGCTGGGCGAGTACAAGTCTTCACAATTCGCCGTCATCAACTCCAACAAGAAAAGAAGCTTCCGCAATAGTCAGTGCCCAGGTAGTACCAGGAGCCACTGCGGCGAGTTTGTTAGACCCAACAGATTATCTACAAGTGTGAGCAGCTTTCACATATAATCAGGCATAATTCGTCAATCTCATTTCTTCCCGGCCGTGGCTAAGGTTTCTTCTTTGAAGGTTTGAATCTCGATCAAACCATTTGTTGTTGGCCTTAGACAGGTTAACCTGAAAATGGAAATTATTCACGAGAATTGAATAGCATAGGTCTTTTGCAGATTTACTGAATCATCTCTATGTAACAGGGAATTTTGCCTTTTCTTTAGTGACGCAAGGGATTTCCAGTGATTTCTACACATCTAGCCACAACGGTAGGCAGAGCTTTAACTGAGCTGTTAGTTTTAGTCTTGAATAGCAAACTAGCAGGATTACAAAGATGGACTGGATTCGACTCGCTACCAAATGTCAGTAATGCCAATATTAGCAGTCCGCTTCGAGTTGAAACTGGCCAATTTTATCGAAAGGAATCTCATACTGAAAAGCAGCAGGTGGATAGAAGCATTGATTTTGCAAGGATTCGTCGCCATTACGATCTTCAGCTGAACTATATCCACCCTATAATTACGCTGGGGGAGTAAATATTCAATATTTAGAAAGATCCACTTCTTTTTTTGTGTTGTTTTGGTTCGTGGACACACAACTCTAGTTGGTAAGGTGACCTCTGTAATAACCCACTAAAGGCTAAAACTGCAATATAGTGGTAGAAAGGTCGAACCCACAGGGACAGAGGAACACACAGGGTACAAAGTGTCACGTTTTAACAGACTATTGAGGAGTTTGAATTCTCAGGCAACTGTCACTCCCAGAAATACTGCAAGTGTCCACTCGGAGCGCACTCGGAGGTCGCACAGTGCAGCGTAACACACACACACACACACCTGAAACTACAGAAACACAACCCAGAGATCCGTTAGGACCTCTACTTCAAGATTTCAGGGGGAAAGTCTCTCACGAGCACACTCGGCAAAGCTGCGGGCAGTGACTTCCAACTCCGGCTTTTACAACGCTTCCACTAGCTTGCTGCTAGTGTAGGAAACCCGGTTTGGACTGCCTACTTCGGATCGAAGTCACTCATACGCGGTGAACAACACTCTCAACTCACAAAACGCGCAGAGAACACAGGTCCGCACTGAAGGACTCACTGTGAAACATTCCAGTAACACAACAACAGTCTATTGAAGAGTTTGAATTCTCAGGCACTTGTCATTCCCAGAAATACTACAGGGGTTACCCTCAAGGCACCTGCTGCAGCGTAACCTGAATTTACAACCAAGGCTTACACGAAGTAGCAAAACTTCACTTTGGCATTCAGGGGAAAAATCCCAAGGGAGTACAATCAGAAAGGAACACTCGAAGGTGTAGGGGCGAAACTGTTCAAGTATCTAACTAGTCACTGGCTCTGAGCATCGGCAGTCACCCGCGGGTGCAGATCCGAACTACTCAAGTCTCTAACCAATGGACTAGCTCTGAACATTCGGCCGAAGGCCTTCAGCTACAAAATGCGGAACGCTAAGTTGTAACTCCTCGTGCGTGGTGACAGAACTCAAGGACACAAACACGCAAAGGAAATGGGTTCCTGATCTGCACTTCTGATGGGAAAGAACCCCAGGCAAAACGCCTGGAACTATTTTATACCTTCTAAGTCCTACCTAGCACTACACTGCACTACGCTACACGCCTGCACGGAACCACGCTACACTACACTCCGCGGAACCTGTACTACGTCTCCTGCGCGGCCGACTGCCGCGCACTAACTCCCTACCCTGCCACTCTTCCGCTCGACTGCACAGTCCCAACCGCTGCAACGCCGCGGACACCTCCCCCTCGAGGGCGGACATGGTATCCTGTGCCTTCGACAGAAAGGCCTCGAGCTTCTTCGCTACCTTCCGCCGACTCCTACTGTCGCCTGACAACAACCCGGCTGCGCGCAATTCAAACTCACGCAGTGTGAGTTTCTCCTGCGCCTTCACTTCCCAGTGGGCGTAGCCCTTGAGACAGTGGGCGACTCGCCTCGCCGTCTCCACCTTCGTGCGATCCGCCTCCTTCCTGCGATCCTCTTCAATCGTCACTAATTGCGATTCGGCTTCAGCACGTTGCGCTCTCAATTCGCCACACTCTGACTGCAAACTGCGGATTAATTCTTCATCCGCCTGCCGTGCGAGCTGACATTGTTCCAACAACCGCGTCTGTCGCACGAGCTCCTCTGACAAAATCCGATTCTGGGCCTGCTCAAAATCGAGTGCTTCCTTGACCTTCACCTGCTCCTTGGTGAGCTCGCCCAGTTTCTCATCCTTCATCTTCTCGGAGTGCTTGTAGAATTTCTGATTAAGCTTGTACTGTCCCCACAAGCACTCATGCTTCTCCTTCAAGTCCCTCAACTCCTGGTCCACTCTAGCTAATAGCTTGCTGGTGTGGACTTTAGTGCGAGTCCTCCTGCGCACTAACTCGATGTAAGATCCCGGCTGGAGTGGGTCGGCGTATTTATCGACCTTGCGATCCAAGTACCGCAGCAACGGAATCACCTGCTCAGAGAGCGCCGCCGCCGGCGCTCCAACAATTTCCTCCTCCTCCTCCTCGGTGTCTTCTGCTCCTGACATTTCTTCCGTGGAGCCTCCGTCGTCATCATCCGAGTGGAGAATTTCAGTCGCCATTGAATGCGTCGGCGACTGCCCCGAGTGGGGCTGCACGTCCTCGACGTGTGCTGCCTGCGAAGGCACGGCTGCGGCCTCGCTGCTCGTCGCCAAAATGTCTAAGGCGGAAGGCGAATGTATCCGAGCGGCATCCCCGTCGCTCGCTGGTTGATTGCCCACCGCATTCTCTCTGTCGCCGTCGTCCGTCGCCGAAGGCGATCGAGCGGAGGGTGGCTGCGCGGGATTGGATTGCGCATCGCGCATCGAGATTTCATCCCGCGGACAGTCACTCCGCTCCTCCGTCTGCTGCTCCCTCGATCGGTCCGTGGGGGCCGTGCCCGGCCCGTGCGCAGGCGCATTTGCCGGCGCCTTGTCCGCCGCAGGCGTAGCGCCGCGGACATCTATCGCCGAAGGCGACATGGCCGGGGGCCGCACGCCCGATGTTCCTTGGTCTATAGGCCCTACCGCCGAAGGCGCATCTATCGGCGTACTTCCCGCCGATGGTGCGGCCTCCGCACGCTCTCTGCTCGTATCTCCTCGGCTCGAAGGCCCTGGCGCCGAAGGCGCGAATTGCGGCGCGTGGTGCGCCGGAGGATCTGGCCCCGAGGGCCGGTGTCTCGTAGGCGGTTCTTCCGCCGGCTCCTTTCCCTTCCTGCGTTGGAACGGGGGTGATTCTTGCCTGTGCACAGGCGGCACGTGCGGAGGTGTTCTGTGCACAGGTGACCTGTGCACAGGCGACCTGTGCACAGGCGAGCGCCTGTGCACAGGCGGACTGCTCCTTCCCACGCGTAAGCGTAGATCCACGTCCACTTGTGTTCGCCGGTCCGCGGAGGCTCGTCCGTCCGCGGAGGTTCGCCTGTGCGCAAACGGAACCTCTGTCCGCATCGCACGTGGTAACTCCGGAGGCCCTTGGCCCGTAGGCGGCCTCTCTCCCGACGAGGTTGCAGCGTGGCCCGTCGCTCCTGCGGTCGTCCGCGCTTCTTCTCGCCTCTCTGGCGACGCACTTCCTATCTCCGTCGCAATCGTCGCCGTGTCTGCACTGTCAGCTGGCAACACCAGTCTGCGTGCCTTCTGCTTCGGCCGGCTGTATGGCTCGCACAGCGGCCGCGGTCGAATGGGAGCAGAGAGTTCTTGATGCTGCTCCTCTTCGGACTCTTCCCTCCATCGCCGCTTCCGCGGCACTCGCGCTGCAGGAGTGTGTCGCCCTTCGTCCCTCCGTCTTGATGGGGTAGAAGTCGGTGACTCCTCTGCGTCAGTATCGAACTCGTTCTCCCGCACATACTTCCCGGGATGGTCGATGGACAATGGCGGAAAATGTTCAAGCTCCGCCGCTGTCAAACAATTCCGCTGTCGATAAAAATTGATGAGGAAAGGAGAAAGATGGTTTAGAGTTCCCCCCTTCTCCTCAAACGCGTGCTGTCGCATCACCCTGTGCAGGATGCTCGCCCAGTGAATTGGAGTTCCCTCGATGACGCACTCCACAAAAGAGACCTGCCACAATGTGATGTAGCAGGCGCGGTGCGGCTGCAGTAATTGCATCAGCGCCGCGGACAAAGTCCGGCGAAATCGATCCTTGTAATCACGGGTCCTGTACCCATTCTTGGTAGACCTCCCGGTCTTGAACAGCTCCACAAATTGCGCCTCCTCTTGCTTGGTCACCTTGATGCTCTCACTGTCGAAAAGGAGATGTCCTGGCATGCCAGCACATCTTCCCAACGCCTGCGCCCAATCTTGGACTGTCCACCGGTCAACATGCGGACGCAATCCGCGCGAGGGTGGTCCCTGTGGCTCTAGCCACTCGCGCACCATATTCGCGCAGATGTAATTCCATCCCCATAGCAAGAAATCGAGCTTTCTTGCTATTAAGCGCTCTTCGAAAGCGCGCAGCCCGTTCTGCGGCAGGCGAAGTGGCACCATCCGCAATCTGCTCGGTCTCGTCATTGCGTTCATGGGGTTCGCTCGCCCGCTCATTCTACTTCCACACTGCCCGCGTTTCTTTCTCTCTCGGCAAACTCTAATCGCTCTCAATTCCAAATCACGCGCACTCACTTCTCCCTCAATCAACAAGAAATCTCCTGCGCGACGACGTCGAGAATGTTCCGCAGCCAGCAGATGGATGCGCGCAGCGCGCACAAGAGATTGGAATCGCGAATTCAAGAATGGGACGTTCTCCGCCGCCCGGTCGAAGGTCATGGTCGGCTCTTGGTCGTGAAGAACGTCTCACTTGATGGCCGCGCCGGCTGTACGCTGGAACGGTCTTCGCTCTCACGCGCGGCTTCACGCTCCGCCGTCGTCGATCAAACTCTCACGCTCGAATTGGCGGATTTGAACTCCGCGAGCGTGTCACCCTGCGGACATGGGGGCATAGCGCCGAAGGCGAGTTTTCCGCCTTGCGCGGTACACTTGTTCGTACCGCCCCTCGGCCAATCTCCTTCTGCCTTGACGCGTGCGTCCGCATGTCGGACAAAAATTCAACTCCTGCCTGTGCGCAGGCAGGAGCCTCGGCGGATCCTCCGCCGGTGCGGAACTTGAACATCCTCCTGTGCACAGGCGTTCGCCTGTGCGCAGGCGAATTCCGTCCGCGGCGCTGCGCTGGCGCGGAAGGCGTTGACCGTGGTCAGCCGTCTCCGTCCAGTCTGTCCGTTCCTTGTCTCTCCATCGGTGCTTCCGCCGCCGCAACTCCGTCCGTCCAAGAGCGCATCCACCCGTGCCGTCCGCACGGTCCGTACCGATGGGATTACTCTGGCGGCCGTACGTGGCGCCGCGCTGGCGCGGAAGGCGCCGTACACTTTCTACCTCACAAGGCGCATTTCTAGGGCCCAAGGCGGATTTTCCGCCGACGCCGAAGTGCCTGTGCACAGGCGTTCGCCTGTGCGTAGGCGGACTTCGCGCCTTCCCTAACCCTACGTCGCCTGGGCACAGGCGAACGCCTTCGTCCGTG